CCTCACGTTTTGATCCCAACCCCCTCAAATAAACTATGCCAAAAATATGTTTCGGGAACTTTTAACTTTAATTCTTACTACTTGGTAACCTCAAAAATGACAATTTTAACCGATTTTGATTTTTACTTCCTAAGCCTACTATCGAGGAAGTATTGTAATCGCGAAAAATGTCCGTCGTCAGCCGACGGATCCCGTACCTACCTATCGGTCGCACTTGCCAGGCGCCAGGGCCAGGGAAACTGTAAATGTTGCATGTTTGGCAGGGTGTCCTAGGGAGATAAAAGCAGGTAAAGGACCACCCGCTAACACGATATGCACATACGATGTATGCGAGTAATGTGGATTTCATGAGGTAATATTATAAAGTATAGAATATAAGTACGTATCAAGAGTTATTAACAAAGAAATAAGGCTGCCGTGTACGGAGTCGCTCATTACTGCAATCTGAGAAGAAAAAATTTCATGATAATTCCAAATAATGCACTAATGTTTCTGACAAGGATATACAAAGCCTAAAGTATGGGCTGACTTTACAATTAAATCAACAATACAAGCCTTCACCATTTTTTAATAAATAATAATGTTAATTTTCAGGGTTTTTTAGAACTTAAGTCGCTTATAACTCGAAAATGGCCAACTATAGAGAAGAGTTGTTTTTATTCAGAATGATCTAGAAACTCTAAAAATAACTTTGTCCGGAGCAAAAAGTACAATTTTCTGCAATTTGAACCCAGCAACCTCTCAAGTCACGTTAAGCGATATCCTACAACGTGATTCTGGCAAAAGATCGAGTTGGAAGGTTTCTTCCGCGAATATTGCGGTTTTCGCCTGTTGTATGCTGTAACTCTTCCTTACTGTTTGCAATGTTTCCACCTTGATGGTAAATAAAAAATGAAGCTTTATTCAATACCGATAACAATTTTCCAACCATATTCGCTAACGAAATCCATGTCTAATCAATTTACTTTTCTGGTATACGAATGACAAATCGCTAATTACAACCGGCGAACTATTATTAATAATAACAATCCAAGTCAACCGCGAACAAAACGAAGGCCGACTATGACAATGTCAAATAGCAAAGAGTCGACCATATGAGTTGTTTATTTTTGAAGTGAGTCAACTCAGTGATAAGGGGACATATTCAGTCCTCGTTATCTATATGAATGTGTTTGCTTTTTAAAACAACCCAATTATCGACTGCGATGAGGGATGACGAGTTTCTGGAAACAATACCGAGCATCAATGTTTGTTGATGATGCGAGATAAGAACGTAGATTTAGATGCAACTAACTGTTTACTGGTTAACCCAGACCAACGGATACAGACTATGTAGAAGGAGCAAGTCTATGTTTGTCTTCAAGATCTCAAAGTTTGTAGTCAGGATGAAATTTCATACAAGTATATCAGTCATAAGTTTATTTATTTCACATGAAATTCGTATTTTTCTGCGAAAACATTTAAAAGTGCGTGGGTTCCATACAGCCCTAGTATTCCAGACAGTCGAAGGTTCCTCTAGGATGCAAAAAGTCGTTTAAACAGAATAATTGATCGATAAGTGTTAATATATTATAGTCATCGACGTTGCGAAAGGGCATATGTGAAAACTGTGATGCTTGAAATACGTCTAATACCTGCGTTCAGTTTCCGGGGCTAGAAGCGTATAAATATACTAATATACAGGAACATACCCTCCACCACCCCCTGCATGCTCTAACACCCAATGTTCAATACATACAATTTTTGTTGAAAATGACCAAGATACTGAAACGTCTTAAACGTCAAAAGACGGAGTATGAGCGTTTTTTTTTTCGTTGTTTGCCCATAGCTTCGCCGCCACTGGACCGATATTTTAAACTACAAATGCGTCCTTTCCACAGTAATAATCTTATTTGGAAATTTCATCAAAATCTGAGCGGTACTATCCAAATTGTAGACGACCGAAGGATTAGTGGACAGACCGACAAACAGACATAGAATACTCCCTCGCTGGTGGCGTAAGTAAAACGATAATTCCGATAAATGAAAAATGCCCTATTTAGTTAGAGAGACATCCATTCTGCGGCCTTCCCGAGAAGCTTCGCAGATAAAAACTTCCATTTTGGTCTTAAAATATCCATTGTAACCTATGAGCTTTCCCTTTCTCACAATATCAACGAGTGTACACCTCAGGTGTCGCATCCTTACTTCACACAAACTAACTTATTTATAAAATACCTTCATCCAAAGTTTTTGCAAATGAGAGACCGCACGCTGATAGTATAGTTTGAGAATAGCAGGCACATGTCCGCAGATCAACTGCTGAAACAATAACAACGTCTTCTTTGATGAAAGATCCCCATTATCATCAGGAGTGTAGATTAAGGAGCATGGCAGATTATGCCTGAAATGATGGGTAGCTGAGCCTTGGCAAAGGGTAAAGTCAAACATTTAGGTTTTTGGGAATACCTCGTTATTTGCTGTAATTACTGGAAAGGTTTGTCTTAAACTAGGACTATACACCGAAGCAGCCACGCAGGCAGAAGCCCAAATGCCGGAACACCGCGGCTGCCTAAGGTTAGTAGAACCGCCTGTTGTCCATCATTAGCATTTGGAATTTTCTTGCTTTTTTTTATATTCCAACTACCACGAAGGCCTAAGGCCTAAACACCCATTGAGTACCGTGGGGCTATAGGGGAATCCAGGGGAAAGGGGATTTCAAAAGTCTTTGCCTGCCTTCACAGAGACATGCTTTAGTTTAGAAAAAATGGAGGAACTGAAATAGAAGGATTGGAAGATCTCATGTTTACGGGGTATCAACCAACGTCTCCACCGAGGCCAGCTATAGCACATCAATTTGTTCCTGTTTACCTTCAGGTTACACCCTTATCCAGATGTGGTGGGTACGTTTTCACTTCGGTCTTTTCGATGCATATCCATTTGGGCCTGAAAAGCCAATAAGCAGAAACGCACTTCGCTGGGGTTACCAATCCTTCTATTTCTCCTCCTGCTTCTTTATTGCGGACACGCCCACGATATGTCTTTTGTTTTTCATCTGTTTCTGCACGACCACTTGTGTTTCTTAGTGTACTCGTAATCACATCGCATTTGAGAATAATGGAGTTCGTAGGAAAGCCAGACTTTCTGACGTCTACGGAATATTTACTTAAATAATCTAACACACTCATTAGGCTTATCAGTTTGTTTACATATTTACCTCCCAAAAAGAAAAGAAATGTTGAATGGGTCTGCAGCGGCTACATGTGTTTATACACATATTCACGGATTTTTTCACGAATATTTAGCCGTAATTTCTAGACTTCTACGAGAATATTTTGCTTAAAAGGTAAGCTTCATGGAGGAGTACAAGGGCTCGGTCACTGAAACATGTATCGCAGTTATCAGTAGCAATAGAACTAGTGAGAGGATCTCAACCAAAAGATTGCGTAATGGGCTGAATGACCAAAAGGCTACTCTTACACTTAGCCTCTCTGTGTGAGAGAAACTCGATACACAAACAAAAATAATAATAATAAGAAGAAGAAAGAAAAAACTAAGTAGACAAAGTGTTTACGATGCTCACTTGCAAAAGTAGAGGTCCATAAAGCAAAGTAATATGAAACATCACAAAAAAGTGATTTAATAAATGCACAGTTTAAACAGTCCACATCACAGTATTTTTGAACTCTCCCAACAGAAAGGTAAAGCTTTTTTGAGAAAGTACTAAGTAGTGAAGTGGCATCACAAAATTTGGGTTATATCTGATATTTCTATGGAAATGTCACCTCTTGCTACCACCTTTTCTAAAATATATATATACCTGTATATATATATATATTTAGTGCGAACTACTTCACCTTCATATAATAAACAAACTGTGATTCCACCTTCAACCAATTTAAATCTTGAGTCTTCGAACAAACACGACTATATTTATCTAAATAAGAATAGAACAAAATTAAGGAATATTGCAAAGATGACAGGATCAAACTTCCATCTAAATTTTTCCTAGTCTTAAAGTTTATAGTGTACCTGTTGGAATATAAAAGTTTTAATCTGGCATACGTTTTTTGAGACAGTTAACTGATGTGTCTATCAAATTTCAAGTTACAGTCCAAGATAAAACCCAGGTTTTTAGAATGTTCGATCAAGGGGATTAGTTCGTTAGCTATAATCAACACAATGGCGTCTTTTGTGCTTTATACATGTGTTTAGGAGAAAAAAAGCATACCTGAACTCTTTTCAGGATTGATCCTGAGTCAGTGCTTTTGGGGAAAATCTGTAATTTTAATTAGAACAGTATTGAATTCAAACGACACTTCATTTAACTGAGAAAAATGAAGTGTCGCTTAAAATCTTGTTGGTATATCTATAATAATCTCTAACCATGCTTTCACCAGTTCCCTTTGGGTCCAATCATCCAATATGCAAGAGTCTTGGCTCCTAATCTTAAAACTGATGACTTGGTAATCTATAGTTTCCAGAGGTGCTGAAGTTTGAAGGGCCTGGGCAGAAGTTGATATCGTCTTTAGAATTGTTCCTACTGTTGGCACCATTAGGATAGCATGTACCCCAAATACCGTCAAGTAGGCTTTAGGTGCTTTTTAGAGCAAAATTCCTGGATCTATGAGCTGTGGATATTACCTTAATTTGTCAATTCTCCTCTGGTGGGAATGTTGAATAAGTTTCTATATGTGTTATATTCTCATTCCCCATTAGAAGATTACGCAAGATATTACGTGTTTGAGGGTAAATATTTGACGATAGTAATCAAGCATTATTTACATCGTAAAGTTTCAGGAAACATTGGAGAGTGTTGGAAATGAATAGAGAATATTACCCAAGAAAGTTGATCAAGAATGTACAAGATACTAACGAGTTATCCATGCATTTAATCTAAAATCTAGCCCAGCTAACAGTTCCTATCATCCAAAAAATAAACAAAACCTTGCGCTGAATCCGTCTGTGCAGCAAGCAGCGAAAGTCGCTGAACAACCTGTTACTTCGGCTCACTCAAGAGATCACAGACCACCAGCTGACTTACCGTTATAATTGTCGTAAGCTGTCGGTACGTATTCGCTGGGGAAACTGTCATTACTGTACGAAACTGCCAGGGAGGTCTTCCCCACGGCTCTATCCCCAACTATCACGCACTTGATCTTGCTGATCTTCTTGCTTTTTTCTGAGGCACATTCGGACCGTCTCTTGGTTAAAGTGAACTGGTTGTGGTTATTTTGCGTGAGAAGAGGCTCCTTGGTATAATAGAATGTGCCCGTGCACTGAGGTGTCATTTTGAAACCGGTGATAGTCAACTGTTCATGACGCGCGAGAAAAACGGAAAAGTCGCGGATGCGATCGTCAACTGTCTCTCCGTGGGTATCTTGTCTAGCGGTTCGTGGAGTCGCGGACTGAGTCATGGCCAGCCGCGACGGCGACTCGACGACCTGTTGAGGCAAGCGAGTGGTGGAGGCATACAGTGGCGCATCTTGCCGGGTGATTTTCACTTTAATCAAACTCGACTCATTCGTTCATGTGACAGAATAGCGCGACTGCAATAAAAAAGTAAATAATCCTGTTTATCCGATGCAAAGTAGTAGTTGTGTCGCACGGTTCTCGATGAACAAAGATTAAGCGTGTTAGAATGGGTAGTGAAATAATGGTGGAGAGTCCTGGTGTAGACCAAGTATGGAAACTGTTGTGGAGTTAATGACTTAGCAGAGATGGGAGCAGTATTCTAAACCAGGAGTATGCACAGGGTGTTGAAGTAAGAAGATAGAAAGCGTTCATGTTAAGCTACGTTCTTAGTATGTTTAGCTTTTGGCACAGGTTAGAGTGAAAACTTTGAAGTCAAAGGATTTTCATCTATCAAAGCCCCTGATAAGGTCTTAAAAGCATCAGACTGTACTATATTCCTACATCGTCCAGGCAATAATAAATTACAGGGGTCGCGTAATAGAAATAGCTTCTGCTCTTCATGAACAATGCATAGAGATCGGCATGCCACTCTAAATGCCTGGATGTGGAGTACTGCCATCCAGCAAAACCGTAGGCTGATCCATGGGCAACGTTCAGAGCTGTAAGAATTGAGGAGCGTCTCATATCCTTCTCGTTTTCACCCTTTGTCTAAGATATAAATATTATCAATGTATATAGAAACAATTCTTTTGTTTTTTTCATATAGTTTATATAAAAATAAACCACTGGAATAACAAATAATTTATATAAAATAAAGGTTTAAGACTGAAAACTGAAGAAAAACCCATCACTTAGGATAAATATCTTACGGCCAAGTTTGCCATCCAACAGTAAGATCTGCTCAGGAAGTACAGATAATAAGAATCTTTTGTGAGATCAAGAGACTCTTCCAATGATTGGATGAGCTTATACAAAATTTGTGACGTAAGCTAAAAGTTTTTTTTTGCTAATCCTTAGATTTTCATGTAACTGTTGTTCCCAGACATGCCTATAGTTGTTTGGATCGGAAAGTGATTCTGTCCCGGTTGAATGAATCTGATATTTTTATGAGATAAATCGGATGTAAAGAAGGATTTGCGAAATTACCGTTAACAATGACCTTCATAGATCCATTTATCTTGTTAAAATAGTGTTATGTTAATCACTAATGATTAACATAACTAACCTAGAAAATGTTTTGCTCCGCCCATGGCAGCGGAACCGCCACACGCGGTTGTCAAGGCAACCTGCACTGTTTGATTAGGTTGAGATGCAAGTAGTGGCGGCTCCCCAGGTGAGGTAGTACCTGGTGCAGTGGCGGAGCACAAAAGACCAGCAGAGGATCTTGTTAGTACTTTTGGCTTTTTTCGAAATTTTGTTTCTTTAATTTACTCGTAATAATTGCGTAGTAAATTTGGCATAGATATCATCTGATTGTTAATCTTATCAATCTATTTAAATAAATTGCATCCATCTTTGTTAACAACTCCTTTATACAGGGTGCTTCCTAATTGAATGTTTCAGGGGGTCCAATTTAAGAAGAAAACTTCATAAGTACGTATGTCCTTAACTTTAGAAATACAGGGTGATAGTTTACAAACATAAATAATTTAATTATTGAGATCTGTAATACCTACTACTTTTTTGACATACCAGATTTTTTTTCAATTTCCACCAGATGCACTTTCCGACCATTTCTAAGCAAATTGATTGACTTTTTAATCCTAGGCACGGTAGTCTCTTAGAAGAATAAAAACTATTTTTCTATTTTTTTTAATAAAGTTTATTTTCCTAAGGGAAAACCGTGCGTCAGACTAAAGAATTGAAGGGATCAAATCTGCTCATAAATGAATCCATATTTCAATTTTTTTATTTACAGAAAAGCCAGTGGCGTACCTAGCGTTTTATTTTTGAAAACTTTACGACCCTGTGTCTCAAAATTTAAGACATTTTCTGGGTGAAGCAGAACCAAACAAATTTTGAGCATACTCAGGTATTCATAATCTGCGACATACCACGTCAAATGGAATAGTCAAACTAGAAAGCATCGATAAAACGACAAGTCCATGCTTTTGAGTTTCTGATAGCGATGTGTATGGCTAAATTTGGGGACTTTTTGGAAAAAAACACCACACATAAAAATACAATTTTATTGAAGTAATCCAAGTCCGTTTTTAACAAGCCTGTAGTAAATCCCAGATAACAGAAAACAACCATATTCTGCTAAATGAAAATCATACTACAAATACGCATAAATGTAATAAATTCTCTCATAATGCTCATGCTTTCCATGGAAACTCTGGATGGTCGACCAGTCTGGAAAAGAACAAAGTACGATGTTACATAAGCAAAAAAAGTCATTCCAGCAAAGGACTAACATAGATAATAATAATATTAATGATAACAATAGTGATAATATTAATAATAATAAACGTGTTTATTTATAACTAACATACCAACAATAAATTATAAATGGGCGAAGTTTAGCTACAGCTATTCTTCCACTTAACCCTCAAATAAGTTACAACGAATTTAGATTAGTAAAAAGTTATATATAATACAATAACAATAAAAGCACTGAGAAAACAGAAATAATAATATGTACTGGTATATGTGCAGAAGCTGATATATAGACTGTTTTGATATCGTGAACCATGGCCAATGGGTGCATAAGCGACAAAAATATCATAATTTACTCACAAATATTAGTTTTTAGTGCAACAAAAATAACGAATCATTAAGCTTTCCGCTGCGTAATTTTTTCCAGCGGCCGCAAATACCAAAGGGATTTTATGACCACTAAAGAGAACCGTGGTAATTTAACAATACTGGCTACTGACAGTCATGATTATTTTTTTCGACTTTGATGTGAAGCCAACCCCAAAATTTCAAAACATTGTTAACTTTTTATAGAAAAGTTGCGGTTATATTTGTGTTTAAGCCGTACAAGAAATGAATAAGTTTAGAATCATAGAACTACAGAAGGACAAGTAACCACACAACCAGCAGAACTACGATAAAGGGCTACTTGCCACATTGCATAATATATAACAAAAATCAATTTACTCACAACACTGTCTATATATTTTCATCTCTAATCTAAAACACATATTTCCATTATATTTTAACTATGTTTATATAATTATTATAATTAAGCTTTTCCAGTCTTACTTCTGTCAACTGCGCTGAATAAGGAAAATATAAGCTTACGAAAGCCCTCTTGTATTTTCAGTAGCCAAGGGAGCAGCAAACAAAACTATTTATTAACTATTTCATTGCTAAGAGCAATCCTGAATTGGGGTATATATTTTCAGAAATGCTCAAATTGTCAAAATGTAGATTGGATTATTCCGGACAGAGACGTCACGATTCACGACATTTTCAAACACCTCTACTCTCAAGTTTTATCTACTAGCGTGCTGCCATAGCCTTTGCTAGGCACATGCTTGAGGTTATTTGAAAAGTTAAAAAAGATTCCTTGGGGCGGCGCGTCGCTAACTCACCCAAGTGAAGATCAAAATATAGAGACTGCAACCACCATTATTACAAACAGTTTGATTCCTATTTTGTTAAAAATGGTGAATGCACTATGTAGATGTATGCAGTACTTTTCAAAAAGGTTCCCAACTACTTATTTTTTGAACGGGTCAAGTTAATAAGGTGAAATTCGGGGTGATAAAATTATTGCATGAATACTATATGTTAGCGTAAAAACATTGATTACCATATTCTACCTACCAACTTAATGCTATATTCGCGAATCCGACAAATTATTATCAGAGATGAAATGAAACACTCTAGCGTCATCTATATGAAAATTTGTCAAAGCTATGTTTCTCCCCTCTGCAATAATTGGGAGAATTTTTTGAGAAGGTTTGTTCTTCGTAGACACTAGACGCTCGTATATAATTGGCTACAGCGACATCTATATGACAGTAACGTTTTCAAAGTTGATTCCTAATGATTGCGGGAAGGAGAAAGATAGCTGTAACAAATTACCATAGATGACGCTACGGTATCTCATTTCATCTCATATTATTGATTTAGGTTAGATGAGGTTGGCTACCTTCCCGTAGAATACGTTAGTAAGTAAGTGACAGTTGAAAATATTAAAATGCCGGAGGGCGCCTTTTTGAAAAGCATTGTATGAATTATTTTTACCGAAGATTTCAAAGAAGTAAGATGAAGCTCAATCGACCCCAGAATTTTATTGAGTGAACCAAAATTCTTGGGACCAAAGTAGTGTTACGACAGATCCCGACCATGGGACGCCATTTGCCAACATTATTTCATGACCTCAAGCTCTGAGGGTCGGTTTTTCAATCGCAGTTAAACTGTAACTTCACTGCGAACCGAACGGCAACTCTCAAAAAGGGTTAAGCAATGTGAGGTTTGTCCTAAAATGGTGGTTAATTTAAACCAGATGGTTATCCACTGGCTAACTAGAAAGTTGTAGTTATGACGCAATGTCTAATCTTTTTTGTCAGTCAGACATCACAGATTATACGAGATACAAATAGCATTAATCACAAAACTTGCACAACTTGATAGTTTTGACATGAAGCAACGTTGCCACATGGACAATGTGTTTCAAGACTTAAAAAGTAAATTTTCATTCCATTACAAGCAAATTTAACTTCCTAGTTATAGTTACCTAACTTGAAAATTAGCATTCGATGGAAAAACTGCACCTTAGAGGTCAATACACGCACGACATGTTGGACAGCTGTTTTTAGTTTTTATGGTAGCTTATTGTAATGCAATCGTAACTAGAACAGTGACTACCTTGGTATATCGGTCACCAGAATCACGCACAACGCAAACGTTCGCCATCTACCAGGCATCGATGAAGACTCGAGTTGTCTCTGGGAGATGCGGGATCATTGTCGATCAAAAAACAGATACACACACAAAGTGCTGAAACGGGCAGAGGCGACCGACAGCAGATGATGAGTCAACAACGCGGAATACAATGGTCCTGTCATAAATTTGTAATAAATTAGTTGCAAGTGTTGTAATAAATTCGTGCGAGTAATACATTAGACTGCAAATAGTAAGAAATATATATATATTTTCCTTACATTATAATAAAGCTACGTACCCATTATAAGTTTGCAACGAAACATGTTGCACAGCATGTGCTTGCAACTTGTTACAGTAAAACAATATATGCAGAAAAACCATTTTCACTTACGCGGGGAAGAACTTCCAGTCACAGATTCTGGCCGATTCACCAATATCCAGTTCTGACAGTTTCTTCATGTCTCCAGCATCAAGATTGAAGTCAAACACCTCGATGTTTTCCTTGATCCTCGAGGGATTCACACTTTTGGGTATCGGGACAATGTTTCGTTGAATCAGGAACCTCAACATGACTTGACCAGGAGATTTTCTGTGTTTTTGTGCTATTTGTTTCACGACTGGGTTCTGAAGCATGTTCGGGAGTTCCTTTGGCCTGGAAAATAAAGACAAATTCTTGAATCCTTACTAACCTTTATCTTTGTTAGCTAAAACTAAATTAATTACACTGTAGTTGCTGAAAATATGATGAGAATATTGTCTTGCACTCTAGCTGGAGGCATCTAGTTACTTCGAACTTCATAAACAATTTTTTAGTACTGTTTCGTCGTAATTTTGTTTGTCCTGTATATTTGAATTTGTCTTTTGAATATTGTCGAAGGATAAGGATAGTAGTGTTAGAAGCTTTTGAAGAATCCCTTTTTGAATTTTGCCTTGTGTCTTGGAAACACTGCATAATAGATAATCCAAGTCTTAGATGAATTTTGCACTTTGGATGAGATTCGTCTCACTTACTTCTGTCCAACAGATTTCAGGAAATCGTTGTATCCAGGAGCGCCCAATGGACAATATGCGACAACAACAATCCCGTTTTTGTGGCAAAAGTCCACCAATTCTTTCTGCTGCATGGCAGCATGTATTTCTATCTGCAAGCAAGCTGGCTTTATTCTGCAGCATTTGAGTATTCTCTCTATTTGTCTTATGTTAAAGTTTGATAGTCCAATCGCTTTTGTTCTTCCTGCATCCACCTGCTCTTCCATTTTCTGCAAAATCAATTACTAATATCAAAGGCACATAATATACAGGGTAGGCTAAGATAAATGCACTAAATCTTAGATCAAGTTTCGCCTGAAAATTACTCACTATCGCAAAGCTTGAAAGTTAATTTCCTGTGCAGGTTTTGAAGGGCCATCAAGGTGATAATAGTTAAGCTATCAGTAGAGAAAATGAGTAAGTTTTGTTGGTTTTAAAAATTCATCCAATGGCGGTGAAGCTACGAGCAAGAGACGAACATGTTTGGAGTGGCTGGAAATTATGGGTTGGGGTTGTAAGGGCTTACTTGGTAGTAAAATTTTCATCTTTGGTGTCAATGAAAGATGTTTTATCATCAAGAAGCATCTGATACAAGTAATACTACGCACCTATTAGACATGATAGATATACGGGGTGACTTCGAAGTTGAGTCATTTATTTTAACAGTGAGTAGATCTGATCAAAAGAAATGTTTTTTTCCTTTAACATTTTTGTGGTATAATTAAAGTACCAAAGTTATAGCCCTTTAGAAGTTTGAGTACCGCCCTGTCTCAATAATAATATTATGTGCTAGTGTTTGGCAACAACGCATATAATCCGCCTTATCGGTTCATCGCATCGGAAACAAAAAACAGAAAGAATTTGAAACGCTTTATCACGATGTTTTTACTACAATTTTATTCAGTTGTATTCAGTCAATGTGTCAGTCGGTAATGCGTGAGTGAATAGTGGTGTCTGTTGCGTGGCTCAAACGAAATAAAAAATTGCACATGTTTACGAAAATGCTGAACTTGTGGACATTATTCTTATTTACGGGGGGGGGAGTCTTTACAGCAAAATCGAGTGCAACCAACCCCTCGTGCCTTTGTTAATGTAGTACAAAGGGCTCGTGAATCAGGTGACTTAAGACCTCACAAGTTGAAACCTCTAATTTGAAATTCACACGACGACAATGATTTCCCAACTACGAAACAAAAAGCGGAAAACTTACCTTCCACAGCTCCACATGATCAGTATGCTCCAGCCTCATTTGAGATGATGGAGGTACCACATGCCCCTCCACGTAGTTGACGCCCACTGGGAAGTGAACCAAATACAAATCAAGATACTTCAAGCGCAAGTCTTCCAAGGATTTCTTCAACATCATTTCAACCCTGTCTGGGTGAATCCCGCTCACCGCTAGCTTAGTAACGATATATAGGTCATCCCTTTTGACCTTCCCAGCCGAGATCCACTGGTTTAGCACCCTCCCGATGATCTTTTCGTTTTCGTAGAAGAATGCGGTGTCAATGTGGCGGTAACCACATTCTAGAGCTGCGTCAAGGGCTGTCTCTAACTCTGTTTCATCGATAGCCTAGAATTGAATATCAGTCAAGAACCATAAGCTCAGACTCTTATATTCCTTGTTTTCTTTTCCTTCCCACATATAAGCAAATGAAGTATTGTGATCGCGATTGTTTTCGAGTTTCAGATAGGAAGTTCTTCTGATGTTGACAACAACAAATTCTTGTTAATTGTTAGAAAAAATGGTTTTGTTGCTCAGTCTCTTAAATGGGCCAGATTGTTCTTAGTTCAAAGATAGCAATATGTTTCTGAACAACATCTTGATGCAATAACAATATGAAAAACTTTGTCAGGTACGTTAGGCATTACCTATATGTTAATCAGTTTGATAATAGTTATCCAGATACTCATTTTACAACATATGCTGATGACATTTTCGCCATAACCTTAAGTAATTCAGATATGATCCTGTAAAATGAATGTAACCACTTGATACGGGATATCCATACGTGATTTAACCAGTACTACTATACTTGCATCCATTCAAAACGATGCTTATTCGTTTTCACCATGCACAAAAAACTAGAGAAGAGAAACTGCGAATTCCTATACTGACAATAAACTCTCAAAGCTATGGGCTGAGGCTATTAAAAACCAACTTATCGGCTGAACAACTGATACAAGTTTATTTTGTTAACGTGGATTCAAGATTGAGGTATGGGGTACGTTTCTGGGGTTGGTCAACGCGCTCTGAAGATGTATGTGTATTACAAAAAAGATGCATCCGATCACTGGCAGGAATTGCACCAACAGAATGTTGCATAAAATATTTTTTAGCTTTTAACATTTTAACTGCCCCTGGGTTGTATATACATACTGCAACAAAAGTTTGGAACGCATCGAATATCTGATGAATGACTCATCTATTTTTTTTTAATTAGTAGGTTTAGGTTTGAAACTACGCCGAATGATATCCGCGATGTTGCCAAATCTACAGTTTTTCAGAAACGAATAACAACTTTTGTTTTTCTCATAGAATGCTATACATTTTATTTGATATTTATATTTTGCGAAACACTCTGAATACTTTTTATTAAGCATACTTTGATGTAGACCTCATAATTTTCAAAATATTCGCGGTCAAACATCAATACATATTTAAACAAATAAAAGGTATTTTTTTCACCTAAGCAAGCACCGGTATCAGTGTATGGAAAATTTAAAAATGACAGAAAGATTTTTTTCAGAAATTTTCTTTTAATGATGGAACCATGGCATTGTAGCTATGATAACTTTCAACTTTCTAAACATTTCCGCATGTCAAAGAGAACATTTATTGATTTAGCAGAAATGATAGGAAAAGCGATGAATTAGTAAAATCATATACAGGTGGACATTATCCAGTGAGTTTATATGGCCATATTTTAATATTCGTGGTATATGGCTATACAGGATACTTTGTTAAGCATATGAACTAGATTTAAAGTATCCCCAACAACAGTAATGAGTATAACTAATAAGGTGCTCTACTTTACGCTACAACTCAAGTCAGCCTGTATTAAGTTTCCCAAAAATGAAGTTGAAGTATAACAAAAATATGCAATACCCAGCAAAATTCTAACTTGTCAGACTTCAAATAATAACCAGAAATATAAAACCACTCCTGAGCTGGGTAAATACCACAATTTTGCGGTGATAACTATGACATAACAGCTGATTCATGACGTCACGGATCTTATAACCAAACTGATCGGTAAAAATCAATCCAAAATGGTAAATACCATTTTCATTTGGTTATTCGCTTGAATTTGATTTATGATTCTTGGTTTTAGTTACTTAAATCGTGTTTTTATTAACTCTACTAACAAAACTTACTGACTTTTCAATGTCAGAAGATTATTTTCCATACTGGTCAATGCTTAGTCGAAAAAATACCTTTTGTTTTTATTTCGAAAACTATGAGATCTGCATCAGAGTAAGTTCAATAAAAAGTATTCAGAATTTCTCGCAGACTACAAATCTCGAATAAAATGTATAGCATTCCATAAGAAAAACAAAAGTTGCTATCAGTTTCTGAAAAACTGTAGATTTGGCAATATCGCGGTTTTAATCCTACCAATTTTAAAAAAATTAGATGAGTCATTCGTCAGATATTTGATGCATTCCAAACTTTTGTTACAGTCTGTATATGAATTGTGTTTACATGTTTTAAAAAATAATGATAAATTTAAACGAAATTCTGATATCCTCCTCCTCTTCTCTTCAATAATTTATTTTATTAAGTCGATTAAAAATGTTAATCAGTTCAAGTTCAATTTTTTGAACATAGTAATTTGAGATTATTTGTAGGTTGTAGGTTACGTAGAATTGTCTATTCCAATACAATTTTAAATTGTCTGTATGGTTTTGGATTTGTTTTCTAAGGTCTATATTACGAAGAACCTTGTTACCGATTTCCGTCGGTCGGTGGGTTTGTTGACGTTTTCTACCTTTGTAAGCTCCGACCATTATGCTGTAAGGTCATAGTAGATAAGGCTACTTGAATAATGGCTGAGTTATGCGCAAAAAACAAAGTGGTTACAGTTCTTTCATAAATTTTGTTTATGTTCCTGTTTACAGCTTTATGGTAATTTTTGGCCACAGGTCAAAAATAAATTATGATACTCGAATAGCATTTGTTTTTCAAGCATTTTCAATTTATACGTATGGGAAATTTGAAAACGGGAACAGGAAAAAATGATAGAAAGTATAAAGCTCATTCCTCCGCAATTCTTTATAATTCCGCCCTCAAAGAGCATTGCTTTCAAAATGATCAAAGAATTACCTACAATGGCTGCACAATTTAATTTTAGTGTAGCGGATTATGAAAATACATAGTGACACGCTCTGAAAAATTGCTGTCACGAACTCAAAAACTTTGCATTCACAACACTTTTTTGTGTCAACCGCTTAGTTTTGATTAGTGCTTAGAAATATTTATTTTATTGGCGACAAACATTCAAACACACTAATAAAACTGTATCTAGGTACCGAAAAATAATGGGAGGTAGGCATAAGATAAAAAAGCAGGTCTTTATTGTACCATTATAAACAGTGAAAATGTGATGCAAGTGGCGGAGTCTGTCCTTTGGCTAATCTACTTCACCGGTAACTCAATAGTGAAACAAAATCTAAATGATGAAATGCTACCAAATATACTTTTGTAGAGTAGACTTGAATTTTTAATCATTTGTTGCATTCCTAAAGTTGATGTCTAATGTGCTCGTATTATAACATTTAGCTGCCTTATACGAATAAGAGCGCTGAAACATAGCGGTGCGATGTCTTGGTATAGTTGATATGTTTATATTATTATAATCAATTTTACAAATGACAAATGGATATATTTGAATAGGTTGTCAATTTTGAGACTTCCTATCTTCGATATGACCAGTTACATGATTATATTTTTCTGAGATTATGAATTAAGAATTAATTAATTAAATTAAGAATTTTGAATTTCTTCATTTCTGAAGGCAAACATTTGATTTAAAGGATAATATATGGTGCTTCCATACCAAATTTTTTAAAGAATTCATGACATATGTTAATAGCTTTTTTTTTGTTTTAAAGCTGAAGAAATGTAATAGTCTGTTATTTAGATCTTTCTTTATTTCTGTTCATCGCTGTATCGAATATGCACCGTTTTTGTAGTCATTATAACCTTACATTATGTATCCTCACCAGACACGACCAAGCTGTATTTTTGTGATAAAATTACAGGTCGTATTAACTTAAATAGGAGAACACAATACTTCCTTCCACGAGTAACTTAACCGATAAAATACATGCAAGTCGTTTTATAAAAAAAAGATTTTTCTGTGATATTGAATTATATTGCAGATCTAATATATGAATTTGGATAAATCTAAACTTAGTCTAGGTCTTTCCTACTTCATGAAACTTGTATATTATTAAAAAGTTACCGTACATTCCATGTCCCCAGTCCGATTCCAGGCATCTTCTTCCCTCCAGGCATATCCATGTAAACCATACCCATTTTCACTTATAATTACTTGATAACCGGAACTTAGTGAAACTCTTACTATGATCAAGTGAATAGAGGATGGTGATATTCTTGCATTTATAGTTCAATTTGACGTGCCCTCTTGAGACTAGATGCTAGTTATTTTTTTAATGTAGTAATAGTTCAGCAAAATTAGTTACGACCGAAGACAAGAAAACCAGTTAATCTTCTTACCATCAAACCTTTCGAATTAATCCAGCCAATCTATATGAAGTTATATCTATACTCTAGGGAAATTGTAGAGGAGAAAATTCTCAGTGAAAATCTGTCAAAAGGGATACTACAAGAATATTTGCATCTAATTTTCATCAGTTAAAGCTAAGCATAAAATCATTTTATATTTTGTTCATGTAGGTATTTTATTGCTACTGGAAAGAAACACAGCTTATTCCCTTGATTTGAAAATATCTACGGTTTCGCGTATTTGTTTCTAATTTCTATTTATGTGACCCTGACTTTTTCTTATGAAAAATATGTACCTACGTTAACACTTAAAGAAACACAATAAATTTCAGATGAAAACAAAATTTGCATTAATTTGAAAGAATTACTATAATATACTTTATTCATAAAGTTACATTTAATTATTTATTTTATCTTCATAAAATTAACTTGATATTCCTTCATCTAATTTAAAAAGCAAAAGTAAAATTGCAGAAAGAAAATACTTAATTATGGTAATTAATAAAAAAAGTAATAAAAATAGAAGTATAAAATTATTTGCTCTCTATATACGCATATTTATTAACTTTAACCATGTTTTATCAAATTTTATATTTTCAATATTTGAGCGTAAAAAATGATCAGTGGTTCGTCAAAGAAAAAAATTATCACCTCTGCCTTCTTCCGCTACACCTAGAAAGCTATTTAAAAAATGTCTCCATTTCATAAGAATAGCTGCAAGAAAAAAATATGTTTCTGGCTTATATTTGTTGCTTTGTACATTTTCAGCGGTAGAAATGGAAAAATTATTATAAAAATATTTTGTTCTATTTCCATTAAACGACAACACTTTCCTAATTGAAAAAACCTGGCAGCGGGGCAGTAAGGCCATAACACTTACCAGTGATCCCAGACTACATAAGCAGTAACGCATATCAAAAGCATTTCTGTATCATTCCGCTTTAAGGGCATATATACGGGGCAATCTACGATGTGTGAAATATGTCTAATAGGTGAGTAGAACTAATGAGATATAAACATACTAAAATATATTACCTAATTCTCCACTACCCCCTACAATTCCCATCCATCAATTGTTTATTCCTTAAAAACTTCTCAAAAATCATCAGGACTCAAGAACTAATAATAACCTTGTGTGAAAGTTTTATCAAAATCCGATCGGTACTTTGCAAGTGACTGATGGGCCAAGGATTAGACAGACATACCGACAGATAGACCGACAGACAGACAGACCGACGGAAATGCCACAAAATCCAAAAAACAATCTCATTTTCGCTATAACAATATTTCCTCGCCAGTAGGCGTGGGTAGTTAAAGCTCTCACTTAAAACTGTATAGCCATCTTGACCCGCAGAAGAGATTTTAAGATTTAAGAAGTATTTGAAAATTGCAACAAAAAGAAAAAGAAAATATCTGAAATTTATTATGTCCAATGTCAAGGTGCACTTTTTTGACGAGATTGAAAGTCAGCTTCGCGTGAATGTAGATGTAAAGAAAAAACACAAAATTGCTTCATTTTTATCGGATTTTCAATAACAACTTGAAGATTTGATTTAAGAGCTCCAAAATTTATTTTGTAGGTATTTTCGAATGAAATAAGAAGTAAGTCGCATTCCGCCAGCAATAAGATATTCATATGAAAGGAGTAAGCATTATTTTTACACCTTTCAGTAATACAATAGATCGAAGATATATTTTCTAGCTGGATCCATGTTCTTGTTATTTGAGACTTTTCCAGCAAATATTTTTTTATGCTGAAGTATTTATTGGTTTCCTGTGTCCGACTGTGCTCTTGTAAGTGGTTGGTAATAAGCTGAATAGTTATTAAACTGTTATTACCTCGTGCGCCTATACTATATAGTCGCCAAGTCCTTTTGTTTTTGTTCTGTTTGTCAGTTTGTTCCTCAATAAATAAACAATATGCGGTTAATTGGCCTCAGATCAAAACATTTGTTTAGACAGACTTATCATAACGCACATATCCGTGATGAGTATCTTAGTAATTAGGTAGTGATTTTTTGTCAGGATGAACTAAATAGAGGATATTTTTACAGAATATCCGCAAAAACACAGCTAATTAGTTGGGTATTGCACATATGAGCCTGGGAGTAGGTACAAAAATGAGCCATCGTAGTTGCGTAAGCCTCTTACACTTTGTGGGCTTTAAAAAGACCGAATTGCAACGTTGTACTATTGTACTAAATGTAACCTGCCAAAATCACGTAACCTTTTTAATACTATTTTGATCACTTACCAGTAATTTGAATTTATCTTTATTAACTGTAGAGTGCCGATTCCTAGGCCGAACCCTCAGTATTGTTTGGAAATCTTCTGGATACTGATATTATAGTATTATTAACGAAATTTCCTCATAAAATATCGTTCGTCTCTTCTAGAGTTGGTTTCCTAGCGTCCACCCAGGGGGGTGAAACGGCTTATGGACGAACTGGCAACACCAGGGTCATTCTCTTCAGGCACAAAACACATAAATCTCCAGGCAAAATCTAGGACACTTTCTTACCAACAGAGTTTGGTTTTTGACAAACGACGGTTTGACTTTCCCTGGGAACTTCCATTTAGTTTTCAAACTGTGTTTTGATTCGGGTAAGCTACACATTAATTTTTAATTATTGATTTAATTCCCAATCGAGAAATTATCGGTCATAATCTTCATATAATAATAACCTTTGTCATATATTCTTCAATGTAAAACACTTGTGATTGTGTGCAGGAATACTTAAGATTGCATACTTCAATAAGCTTGTTTTTCTTTTGTAAATCAGTCATGTATGGATTTGGGGTTGCCTCTTCGTACATCGCTACTTTAAATTACTCATGCAAATATCCTTCTTGCAAAAATTCCTATTTCCACATTTTTCGGAAATCTGCTTGTGTATACAAAAATAAAGTATTTTATCGTTTTCCAAAAGATGAAAAACTGTTGCTGCATGGAAGGCAACGAAGTCCACGGTTATACAGATACCTCAGGGAGTTTTTTAAGTTACCATCTGTGAGATCATTAAAATCAATTTTATCATCAATTCCTTTTGAATGTGGCCTAATTGGACCTGTTTTATAACATTTAAAAACTAGAGTTGAAAAGATGGATGAGTTAAGCCACTGTTGTACTCTAATTTTTGATGAAGTGTTTCTTAGTTCTGACCTTCATTATGAAGTGAAAGAACAGATATGTGGATTTGAAGATTTGGGTACACTTGGACGCAACAAAGAAAAAGCAAATCGTGCTGTTGTGTTTATGGTATAGAATTCCTGTAGCTTATTTTTTCACTAAAGATACAATAAAGTCGAATTGCCTCAAGGATATTATAGTAATAATTATAAAGCAGCTGCAGGATATTGGTTTGAATGTTGTTGCTACTGTATGTGATCAGGGTACTACAAATAGAACTGCAATAGCCCAGCTAACACAGGCTCACACTGATGATGAACCAAGTCCATTTCATTTTGTTGTTAATAGTCATGAGATATATACAATTTTTGATGTACCTCACTTACTTAAAAATACCAGGAACCCCTTGTTAACATCTCATATCCAATATGAGCAAAACAAGATAGCCAAATTTTGCTACATTTATGAGGCATTTCTGGCTGACAGGACAAAAAGCACATATAGATGTTTGAAAAATTTAACTGAGTGTCATTTCAATTTTAAAGATTTGTTTTAAAAATCAAAGTAAATGATGCTGTCACATAGCTCAGTCACACTATGGCAGGTGCAATTGAGACATTCTACTCATCTGACCATATAACTGAATCAGAGTTGCTACAAACTGCTGAATTTGCACACTTAGTAGATAATCTTTTCGATTCACTTAATAGCTCACAATTTAATTCAGCAGATGGAAAAGTATATAGGTATGCCATTTCAGAAAAGTCACCTCATTTAGAATTTTGGTCCAAAATGTTACAGTCTCTTTTTAACTGGAATATTTTTTATAAGGACGTGAGTTGAAAATTCAAATTATTTCAAATTTGTTGAAGGCTAGCAAATAAGAATTAGATCTGTTATGTCACTATGGAGGGATCTTAAGGAGAAGGGCTTGAAATATCTTTGAGAAATTTAAATCAAGATTCCCTGGAAAATCTATTTGGTCAAGTAAGACAGCATGGTATCTTCAATATAAATCCCACCTGTCATCATTTTGTTGCTGACTTAAAAACACTAGTTATTAATAATTTCAACACACCTTTTTCTAAAGGATAAATATGACCAAAGTAATGATACAGCGCTTGATTTAGACCCTGAGATTCTAAGTGACTCTGACATGGAAATAATGGACAGTTCTATTGAATGGAATCCTTCAAATGGTTATGTAGCTGGGTACATTTTGGACAGACTCAAAATTGATAGTAATTGTGAATCCTGTGCAAGGTTATTTTCTTCAGTTGTCACTGAAAAACATCTATTTGTGACATTTAAAGAGCATGATGAGGAAAAGTGATTGAAGTATGCAAGTGAAGATTTAATTAACCTGATTGATCTTCTGGATGAAAAGCTGAATGCATTTTTAGAGCAGCATGGTACAGAAGACCAACTGGAAGAATTTACAAATACGCAAAAAGAAATTCTTTTAAAAGGAGTGGTGATACTAATAAAGGTCATATATCAACAAATGAGAAATTCAAGACAGCTAAAGTCAGGTAATGTTTTTTTATATAGTCCAGCACTCTTCATCCATTGAATTGTCTATTTACTTCCATTAACCATATACTACTGTGATATTATACCTAAACAATATTTTTTTTTTGTTTGGTGGTTGCAACTTCCTTCGGAGGGGGAAGTTGGACGAAGAATAATTATTAATTTTGTTACTTCCTGTAACGTTAAAGCCATCAGGATCTTTTGGTTTTAAGTATGAGGAATGTCTTGTTTATTATTGACTTTGATTTCTTCTTTGAAGAAAATTTTCCTCATTTTTACACTATAACCGTGGGTGCAAATTTGTTTTCTCAGATTATATTTTTATTTCAGTTATTTATTTAACTACAGAGTTTTATTTTTTGTTGTTTTAGTATCAATGTTTACGTTTCAGTGATAACTATACCTCATGATGGATTCACAATAGGTAGTGCTTGCTTCATCTTGCTAAACACTTCCTTTGATTACTAAGGGTCCCTTATATGCTCCTAATGTATAATTTGTATTTTTTTTGAAACATCATTTATTCACTTAATAATATAGAGAAAGCTCCGGATGTCTAAAAATACCTTTATATATTGTCAATGTAGTGAGATGATAAATTATTACTACTACTTATTATTCATATATTTAACTATTTAATAAATATTTTATAAATTACACATTTATTTTTTATTATCTCAAAATTGGTTACCAGCAAAACTCCTGAATCAGATATTTCCTTTATTGAGGATATTTTATGCATATATGTTCATAAATATTTCTTTAATATGGGAAATATCATTTTCAGCAGATTTTAATTTGGAAACAAACTTAATCCTCGGCACATTCCTAGCATTCCCAATCTCCCGGCGCATTCTTTGAACTCCCTCGATAGTTTCTCCAGATCTCCAGGCAAGTAGGCGGCGCAACCATCTGACAAAACGTCAACGGTGTTGCCACTGTTTAACGTGCAGCTCCCACTTCTTCAGTCTTATGTGTTTTGTGGGTCCACCATTGGCAATCAGCGCCACTCTGTGATTTCTCTACGTACTAACCTATGTAAGAATATTCGCTTTCCTACCAAGATACCTTCTTTACCTGTCAAGATACCTTCTTTAACGGTTTTTCTCCGTTTCTTTTAGTTTCCTATCGAGCATACCTTCTTCAACGCCACTCATTTAACCTTCTTTTAAGATGTCAGGTGTTCTGCGTCACTTTAGCAGACGACATCTCGGCTGCGTCTAGAGCTGTAACAGGAAGAAGACCATTATCCAGATAAGTTTAGGTTTGGGCGTTAAAATATTTGTAAAGCCTTCGTGTCGCATGGTAAACTTTTTGCGGGGTCAGTTACCTATCACGGTCTAATAATTTTATTGTGCGGCATTATTTAGTAATATCCTTTTTTTCAACTTGCACTCCAGTGGTGAAGCATATGTGGTGGTGTTTCCTTAGTTACTATATTGTGATTGTTTTTATTATCTTGTTTTTTGGCTCTCTGTGTACAATTCTCGTAACTGCTGTTAGATTCTTTTCTTTTGTGTGGCGGTCAAACAGAACAAGTTCTGACTTACATCTCGGGGATATGTGGTTTAATCTGTCTTAAGTCACTGGCGCTCTTAACCCCCCAAACTACTCTTCGCTTTATTGAGCTGGGGATTAAATTTGCAGGCCAATAGACAGCCGTTTTTCATTGACTGACCCTTAGATTTCATTTATCGTGTTTTCTCAATTCATTTATTAATTAAAAAAAACAAAGGCGTGGCATAAAACCTGAGATGGCCTAAAAAGTACGAGGGCGGTCCTATGAGTACTTAGCATCACCGCCCGGTGACGCCACTATCGCAAGAGAAATTTACCATTGTGTAGTACATTCTCGTAGGAGACTACTGTCAAAACTTTAGCCAAATCGGACTCGTAGTTTTGTTTTGACCTCGCGTGTAAGCGAGCGTGTCCGCGGATTTTAGAAAAATGGAAAAACAGCATATTCAATTTTGGTTTTTGATCGTGGTCGCAGATCGATTTTTGATGAGCCACGGTCAGGTGCCCCGAAAACGGCTACCACAGAGGATAACGTGGCAAAAATCCAAGATGTCGTATTGGAAGATCGCCGATCGAAGGTGCGCAAGATAGCTGAGACACTAGGCATCTCAAAAAACCGCGTGAGATCACTTCAGAGCAGTTTTTGACGATGTTTAAGCGCAATCGGAAGGAGTTTCTGCGTCGTTTCGTCACCGTCGACAAAACATGGATCCACTGGTACACACCAGAGACCACGGAACAGTCAACACAATGGACTTCACTCGGCGAATGTGCTCCGAAGAAGGCGAAGACTCTTCTATCGGTCGGAAAGGCGACGGCTACCATTTTCTGTGATTCACATCGACTACATAGAGGATGACGAAACACTCACAGGGCTCTACTATGCCGACTTATTGGGCCGATTCGACGCCAAGTTGCAAAAAAGCGGCCCCATTTGGAAAAGAAAAAATTGCTCTTCCACCATAACAACGCACGGGGTATCACCTCCGGGAAAAATAAGATATACTAAGTGACATATAAATCCGAACACCCAGTTTAAATGGTTTTATTTTAATAAAATTTTTTATAAGTACTTAATGAAGCATAGTAAGTAAATGATAAAAATTTCAAAATGATTGCACTGCTTTAAAGCCCTTTGACCTTTAATAATGTGTGGATGCACCCTGATGTGCTACGCATTCTCCAACGCGCCTAGGAATGCTTCTGATCAGGTGGTCAATGTCCTCCTGTGGTATCTCATTCCAGGCAACCACCAACTCCTCTCGAAGTGCTTCTAGAGTCTGAGGAGGACGTTGCAAATTGAGCAATCTCCTACCCATCATATCCCACACGTGCTCAATTGGGGATAAGTCGGGAGATCTTGGTGGCCATGGTAACAATGTGACATCATTATGTTGAAAGAAGTCTATTGTGACTCTTGCAGCATGTGGTCGGGCGTTATCTTGTTGGAAAGTTGGATCTGCCAGGGTGTCAAGATAGGGTAAAAGATGGGGTTCTAGAACTTCGTGGATATAACGCTGCGCGTTCATGTTACCTCTGATGAAGATTAAAGGTGATCTGAAACCATAAGCTATAGCACCCCAAACCATAACTCCAACAGTGTGATGAACATGTCTTTCAACAAAAAACTGTGGATTCCTCCTTTCACCACGTCGCCTTCTAACCCTGGCACGACCATCGTGCATGCCTAAACAAAATCGAGACTCGTGACTAAAGACAATACTGTTCCATTCCTGATCCCAGAGTGACCGTTGTCTGCACCACTCAAGGCGATTACGTCGGTGTTCTCGAGTTAAAGGGAGGACCCAGTTTGGCCGGTATGAAAACAAGCCAAAACTTCTCATTCGTCGGTAAACACTTCGCATGCCAATAGGTCTTCCGTGTTCTGCAAACCATTCATTTGCAATGGACCTGGTAGTGGAGAAACGGTCCCGTAACGCCAATAATCTTAGGCGGCGATCTTCAAGGTCTGTTGTTCTACGGCGGCGTCCAGTGCCCCTTGCTGTTTGCGAACGGCCTTCTCGAAGCCATGCCTGACAACACCTAACCACAGTTTCTACACTTCTTTGCACTCTAACTGCAATTGCCCGAAGAGAAAGTCCAGCTTCCCGAAGTCCCACTATACGGCCCCTATCAAACTCACTAAGTTGACGAAATCGTACAGGTCTTCGTACTCTAGGCATCGTAACCGGAATGTCCAACTGATAAGGCTGAACATTTTTTCACTTGTTATTTACAGTAAGATAAATACATTCACCAACTTTTATTAAAATAAAACCATTTAAACTGGGTGTTCGGATTTATATGTCACTTAGTATATTTACGGGCTTTGGTAAACATATTTACGCATGGACAATAGTGTGCATTTAAGTTAACTGAAATGCTATAGTTCGGTTCCAAATTGAAAGGCAGTAGATTCTCTACTGGAAGCGATGTTTTCACGCGCTCATTTAAGAAATCCACTAAAAGCGTGCATTGAATTTTTGCATGAACATTTAAATGTTCAATAATTTTCTTCTGATCCAAAATAAGATATAAATATGATATGCGAATATTTAAGGATGTGCATCTACATGAAAAATTAATGTTAGTTTGCTTTATAAACTATGGTCCAAAAATGTTTCCTTACAAAAACTCGGGCTTCAGATATTTCACTAATATTTAGTACGTAGTAAAAGTTAAAGAAGTTGCATATTTTTCAATGCAAAAATAATTTTTAGTTTCAACAGTGGCGTGTGTACGGGTATTGACTTCAATATTTTATAAGAAAAAAATGGTACGCCAATAGTTTTTTGCCAAATAAAAATTATTTTTAAATTCCCCATTCAACTTTAAACAAATGATTTCTCATGAGTTGCTTTCCTTCGATGCGCCATTTTTGAGTAAAAAAATAGAAACCGTTATATTGTCTAACTTGCAGAATTATTATTAATTTAATTGGGAAATTTAAACACATTAGGGGTAATGAACAACAACAACTGACAACATAAACATACCATTAAATACAATTGTTGAAAATGGCCCCTTCTCTTAGTATGCATGCTTCCGCCCTCCTTCTGATGGAATTGCGCACTGGTTGAAATATCCCTGGAGTGTTTTTTATTCTATCACAAGCTCCAGCTATTCTTTCTCTTAATTCCTCTACAGTGTCAATGGGACTTGTGTACACTAGTGTCTTAAGATAGCCCCACAAAAATAAATCTAAACTGTTGAGGTCTGGGGACCTTGGTGGCCATTCTTGGGGCCCGCCGCGGCCAATCCAACGATATAATATATATCTAATAATTACGAACCGCTACACTGAAATGCGTTGGTGCACCATCATGCATGTACCACATACTGTTTCTTATTACTAACGGAACATCATCAAGCAGCAAAGGCAATGGTTGTTGAAGAAAATTGAAATTAGTCTGTCCGTCAAGTCGTCCCGGCAAGAAGAATGGGCCAATAATGTGGTTGCCAATAATTTCTGCTCATAGGTTAACCGAAAATTGGTGTTGGAAATGGGTTTTGGTTACGGCTTAGGAATTTTTTCTGCCCAGAAATGATTGCTGTGGAAATTCTGAATGGCATTTCGAGAATAATTAGCTTCGTCCGTGAATCGAATTATTAATCCAAATTGCGGATTTTGTGTAATTTTTGAAGATACCACTAACAAAAGGCCACACG